AGTCTGCAGTTATAGCCACTGCAGTACTCGGAGATACTGACCATTGTTTGCGTTTACCCGTAAACTCTATAATAATTCTCGGGTGTGTTTGATTCTAAAGAAATATTTAAGCGGTTAGTTTATTTGCTATTCGTGATATCTTGACTTCAATGTCAAATCTATTAGCCAAATCTTCGGATTTTTTTAAAATATCTTTTAAGTCATTTTTCATTTCGTTGATTTGTCAAAACAGTTAAAGCAGATGCCAGATTGTATTAAAKATTGTGCTTTAGATATATCAAAAGTTAGAGACTGGAGTTTCCTTGATAAAGCYGATAAAGGTAGTGTACAACTCATAGTATTTATTATAACTTGTAATGTCAATAAAAAATCAAATCTTAGTATTGAGTTATATAAATCATTAACTTTTGTCAACATTTTTCCGTCACAATTTTCGATAATGTATTCCAAAAATGACACAATAGTAGGGTATTTGGTTAAATCGTATAAAAGCTTCATGATGTTCAACCCATCTATAGTTGTACATAACTTAAATAATATATCTGAGTTTAGATTTGGACAGTGTTTTTTATTTTTACTTTTAAAAATGTCAATTCTTTTTGGATGAGAACGTTTCGTAATGTTCCGTACATGAAACGAAAACACTATATAAGCTAATAACACTGCAACACTGATCTCGATTACAACAAAAATATTATAAACACGATTTAAGATATTATACATAAATCTTATATCTTGATGAAAAGTAAGAGAGCGTAAAGAGGCTAATACTATCTGAATAATAAAAAAAAAGGTTGGGGGGAAGCACTGGCCCCATTGGCCCTACCTTTAAATACTAGTGGTCCGACGKACCWAATCCATCGAGGAGCTAAGGATTTAATCCGTCAGACCAAATCCTTCGAAAAATCCACTCGTGTATAGCAGGCTGTTGAGGACACTCACACCCGTCATCGACATCGGACAGCAGGATGTCAGAATAACAAATCGTTTTTATTTTGACATGTTCCATGTTCGTATTGTGTGTCACCGTTACTGGTCGTCTCGGCGATTATAAACACTATATAGCCCATTTGGCTTTTCTATTCTTAGTACATAGTTATTTGTTTTGCGTTACCGTTTAGTTACTGTCCGCATATGGCATATAGGTAACGAATGACGATTTATCTGTTGTTAGTTTGTTACTTTTGTAACGTG